AGCAGCGGCGGCCTTATCCATTGCGAGGCTCTGGGCGGCAGATCTTTGCGAGGCCCTTGTCCTTTGTGCAAAGTATGTGAATTGAAATAGTAGGCACTTATTAATATTAATATATACTGTACTATAAATTAAATTTATTTTATTGTTATAACTAATAGCCAAGGATAAAATAAAAAGTTTTAAATATCAACTTTTTTCTACTTGGTTGTTGCGCGAGGCCCCGGGCGATTGCCCTGCTCGCCACCCCCTAAGGCCGCCACTGGGTTTAATTAATTTGAAGGAATAATGCATCGCAACACGAGGGCGATCTGCCTCTCGGAAAGACCTATGGGAACTCCCCCTATTTAGGTGTATGACAAGTGAAGAAAATCCAGAAACAATTGAAGTGTATATTATTTATACTTATAAAGGCGTGCATTATTATATTAATCCACTCGATAACCGGATGGCCGAAGCGGTTAAGGCGCCAACTTACTGCTATGGAGATCCTGAATCGAATACGGAGCGACTCCAGAAATTTTTCAGGGCGGGCCCGATATATCGGGGCAGATAACCCATTTTGCTTATAACGTATATCTGAAATAAATCGTTGTATTAACTTCCAATAATAAATAAATAAAAACTTGTGAATAAACGACAGAGCGTAGACCGTATTTCTTCGGCATAGTGAGTTAGTCCTGGATGAACCTCTTTGTACAATTATCAATTTTATTTTATCTATACTGCAATTTACACTAGATATACTTTAAGAAAGGAAAGTTAGTAAATTTCTTCAATGGTGTTGATAAAAAATTGCCCAATTTGACATACGAAATAAACAGTGAAAGAGAAAGTAAATTTCATTAGAAATAATACATTTTTTTTTTTACAATTATATTTATTTATACACGATTCGCCATCTGGTGGCAGTCGCATGCACCAATAATTATGGCCACGTCCACTGTTCGGATTTTGGGAAAAATTAAATTTTGTCTGTTTAACTAATTAAAATTTATTTATTTATTTAACTTAAAAGGTGAGTTATCTGTTATATTTATTTACCGTTTAGTCGATATAAGATGCACGAAATTAACAATTTGTTTACTCTGTTTTTCTAATAAAGTATTTTTACGTATCGCTAAAAAAAAAATTATTTTATTCAATATTTAAGCATATGATTTATAATATTGAAAATCAGCAAAGAGTATACCGAGTCTCGTTTAAAACGACTAAAGCCGTAATGCAGGATCTTAATGTAGGTCGAAAATTTCCTGGTTTAAAAAAAAAAATTATATATAAACATTTTTTTAAAATTGCAAATTATAATGTATTAAATACCATGCTGCCTTTTATGTGTATAAAAAAAGAATACGTGTGGTTTGTTTGTAAACAAATAAATTGAATATCAAACATTGCTTGTTTTTAAAACATTTCTTGACGTTTCGTATAAAAATCTCCCATACTTTCAGTTTTTGTTCTTTTGGGTAATTGTTTATAAGCCATACACCTGTTATAAACAATTACCTACTTTACTTGTGGTTTTCTAGTTTGGATCTTGTACTCTTGCGTCTGGTGAGTTATAAATTTTCGACCACTTTGTCAGTTTGTCGGATATTCTTCCTCGGTTAATGTCCAGATACGTGGACCGTCATGGCGGCACTTCCTGTTTCAGCCTCGAAACCAGACGGTTTGCAGAGGTGTCACGTGACGCACCGACGCACGTTCTAACCTAACCTAACCTATTCTAATAAATTAGCATAATTATTACCAATTATATTATTAGAATAGGTTAGGTTAGGTTAGAACGTGCGTCCCTACTGTTTCCTTTTCTTTGCTGGAATCAGCGATGAGGCGCCATGACAGCCGCCGTCGTTCGCTCGCGTCGTCACGTGACACGTCGTCTGCAAACCGTCTGGTTTCGAGGCTGAAACAGGAAGTGCCGCCATGACGGTCCACGTATCTGGACATTAACCTCTTCCTCTTTTCCCGCTACCGCTTTGTCGGTGTGGTGGCGGGAAGCAGGGATGAGTTGTAAATCGAACACTTGAAATTATGATCTTTAATGTAATTTTTAGTATTTGTATTCGGTCGTATACAAACTACGGTCAAAGTTATCGTTTATGCAAAATTAGCAGTCGTAACGTAATTACTAATGTAGTAATTGAAGAAAGCCAATAGAAATGAATACAAAGTAGACTCGCTTATTGTAATTGTTTTGGGACTTGCCTAAACTAATAATGACTAGTAACATTAAGCAGAATAAGTAAATGGGACCACAATTAGAGGATATCAATGATTCTAACATTAAAAAGGACATGTTAAATAATTAAAAAATGTATAATGTGAAGATTTATCATTGTCATCATCATGAAGTAATATATAATGTATTCAGAATTATTTCTCTACTACTAGCTTAAAATAAGCTAGCAAAATGCTAGCAATTTAGATTATTGTATTGTAAATCAATAACAAATTAGAACAAAACATTTAAGTCCCTGGTTAAAACTGATAGCAATTGTGTGTTATCAGCCATGTAAGGGGGCTGAGAGCTTAAAAAAATCTATGGCTATCCCTCGTATAACATGGTAGATACATTCAGAAAAAGCGCTGTGTTATGTGAATCCGTGCTATACAAAACAAGGAAGTAATGCAAAATATGGGATTAGGTTCCAAAAGTTAACTATTCTTTATCATCACCAAGAAAAATAAATTATTACGTATTTTCAATCATTAATTAACTATCAATTACAATTAAAAGTACTGTATGATGTTTTAATATTAATTTCAGGTAAATGAGGGAATTTTCTTTTCACAAAGTATCCTCAACTTCTGAGCTTTTTTCTTGATCTTGATCAGAAATATCAGTAACATCTTCATTTTTTTTTTTTGTAAAAANTAACTAACAATCACAATTAAAAGTACTATATGACATGTTAATATTAATTTTAGTTAAACTAGGGCATTTTCTTTTTACAAATTATCATCATCATCTGAGCTTTTTTGTTGAACTTGATCAGAAATATCAACAATGTCTTCATTTTTTTTTAAATAAAAATATGTTATTAATCAAAAATATGTTCTATAGGGTTGTGTTTGTTCAGTCAAGTACCAAGTGATTTTCTTTCCAGAATTTGTATTCAAATACCAAATTGTTTGAATTGGAAACAGTTAGAATACAAAAATACCATTGTATCTTGCTGTCATTTTTATGAATGATTACTTACCTATGGTTAAAAAAAAGTTTAATAACACTTATCTAAAATGTTTAAATAATTTCACTAAAAGGTTAATCCAGGGTTATCCCTGGGATTAATTTTTTAGTGAACCTGCAGTCCATGGCCTAATTCTTAACCACACCTTAATTTTTCAACAGCTTTTTGTAAAAAAAAAAAATACTGGTAATAAGATTTATTTACAAAATTCAAAATATGAGAAGTAACAAGGCGTGAAGAATTCATTAATTAAAAAAAATCTTAAATACATAATTTAAAGTAAATCTTAATTATTCTCACTATCACATTGTGAAAATGATTCATCAGTTTTACTATCACAGCCAACTCTGAAACTGGTGTTGGCATCATTATTTTCCCAAACTAAGTTGTCTTCTATGCCAAATTTGCATTTGTAATGCACCATTTTTAAAAGGAATGAATTATTATTTCATTGGAAACTTTCCAGGTAACATAATCATTCTCAATTTTTGAAGTACTTGCCATTTTTATTTTCCCAGAAGTGGTTAAAAGGCTTGTTGATGAAAAACAAGGTTTCTGAATAAAATCTACTGGTCAGATGATGAAATTAAATCAGGGGATAAAAGACATGATATAGAATAGATTTACTTTAAAAAATTCTCTTTTCAGGTAAAATTTAACCATTTTCAAATATAAGGCACACATGATTTTCAGAGATTAAAATTTCAAAAAAGTGCAGCTTATGGTTGGAATTGAATAAATATGGTATCAGTTTTAAAATTATTATATTAATACAGTGATACCTCAGGATACGAATGTCCCAGCATACAAAATTTTCAGGATACGACATGAAATTCGAACATATTTTTGCTCCGCGATACGAACAAAAACTCACCATATGACGTTACATTATTTTGCAGCGCCATTTTTTATTCACTTCTGTTCATTGGTCTCAGTCCGCGTGTTTGCTTCATCGTGGCAGGATCTTGCTCAATAAAGGAAATCTTGAGGTATTATTAGAAAGTCACTGATTTTATTGAAAAGAAGCATCCCAAAAAGGTTCACACTAGCTGTATTGCTGCTGAGAGTAATGACATTTGCCTATGTAATTTTAGAAATGTTTTAAAAAGTAGGCAAAGCCAAACCTTTTTGGATAGATATTTTACCAAGCAACCTCTATCCAGTGAAAGTGCTGGTGGAAGTGAAGGAAAGAAAGCAAAAAGCAGTGAATAAAAATTTTAAAAAATATATACAAAACAACACTATTTTTTTTTTTATCTTTTCTAAGTTATTTTTAAGTTATTGTTACATTATATTATGTAAGTTAAGTTTTAGTATCATTTCCCTTCTCCCTCTCTTCCACCACCAGTTTACATCCCCACTGTCGTCTAGCCTCAAAGATAAAGTGCAAATAAAACTACATTTTTTAATCAATTATTATTCTATTATGGTTATTTATACATTTACAACTACAAAATGCATTTTTCAGTGTTTTCCTCACTATAGTTATTTTTTTAATGTAATACTTAGCTTTAATGTGAGTGTGTTTTTCGTGTTGGAACAAATTATTTGGTTTTACATGTAATCGTATGGGAAAAAATTATTCACCTTACGACATTTTCATGATACGATCTCAGTTTCGGAACGGATTAATTTCGTATCCTCAGGTACCACTGTATATGGAATTCCTGTAAACAATATTCAATATCTTACTTATACAGTATATCAAATCACACACAGTAAAATTTGCAACAGATATCTAATTTTTGTAAGATGTTTCTTAAATCTTTTAGAAAACTGTTCACCAATGAATAAAATGTATAAGTATATTTTATGACTTAAAATTATATTCATATAATCATAAAAATGCTTTTATGACTTTAAATTGAAAAAATTTAAAACTTAAGTTTATATATTACTAAATATTTTTTAAAACTGATAAAAATTATAACAAATTATAATTCTGTATATGACAATTATTCTTGATGTGGATTAAAGGTTAGAACTAAGTTAATAAATGTTTCATTATTAAAATAATTTTTAATAATATCACAGATTTATCTGTGATACTTTGCCAAAATTATTTTAAAAAATTAAGGATTCAAGTTCAAAAATAGAATAAAACAATTGAACATATTTAAATGTATTTGACTGTTGTCAAACTGTTGGATTTGAAGATGCTTCAAATAATTAAAACAAAAGTTTATTTTTCGAATAATTTTGACAAAATATTATCAACAAATCTGTAATCATATTATTTTTGTGAGAAAAAGAATAATAATAGAGAGAGACTAATTCTTTTAAATATATATATAATA